GCTTATCGGTTAGTTCTCGAGTTCGGACAGTGCCAAGTGTGAGCTTTGACGTGATCGTAGCGCTGCACAAGCGTGCTCGAAAGCTGAATTTGAAACCTTAGCTAGCAGATGCATAGAGAGCATCTCTGCAAAGTTTCAGCTTTGTACCTTGCCTGGTTCGTGAAATCGCTCCACGCCAAAGAAATCTGCATATTTTTTTTAGGGGGTCCGTACGCGACGTATGATCGAAAACTTTAAAACGGGAGGATGACACAAGTGTAGGAACTTATGCTCAAAATTTCAGCCTCCCAGCTTTCCTGGTTGCTGAAATAAAAGTGGGTGAAAAAGTTCACTCGCTTCCGAGCACACAGACAGACGACATCTCGACAATAGCGTTTTTGCTCGCTGTAGCAGAGCTATAGCGCTGCACAGCGAAAACACTTAAAAAAGCATTAGGACTACCAGCAGGCTAACGATGCCGGCAATGCGGCACTGGTCAGAATAACCACCAAATGAAGAAAATTGTTACTGCCATCTATTACACCACCACTCGGAGCTCGAGCATGAATGAATAGTGATATAATCGCCGTTTCAAGCATTAGTAAATAAAGACAAATCAGCTTATCAGTACCGGTAGCTTCTATTGTTGCATCTGTTGGATAAGCAGTCGAGAAGGTGCCACTCGCAATTAACAGCAAAAACTCTTTCAAAAACATCTGGAAACCGATAAAAATATTAAAAAACACAGAGAAATTCAATATAAAGTGAACAAAACACTGAAAAGTTTGAAATATGAAAAGTAGAACTGAAAGGCTATGGATGGTTGGGTTTTCTGGAAAACTGATTTTTCCAAGATGACAGTTTTCAGCAGGTCATCTCCGAAGAGCCTCTGCAAGATGATGTAACCCAAGCCACCAAAAAAGCACCGTAGCGTATCCAGTTTGACAAAAAAAAACTTTTGAAATTTTGCCGTCGATAAGAAAATGCTTGAGAAGTTTCGAGAAGATTTTCATCATTTGGCTAATGACTGTGTAAATTCCAATCACTAAAAGTGCGAATCTTACTAATTAAAACAAATATTAACAAATGATCTGGGAATAGATGCAGGATAGAAATAAAAACTGTTAAAAACTGTAAAATCATCACTGTCCTTAGAAACCATTTAGGTAACTAAAAGCATTGAAGTGGGCTTCTCGCAGTGCAAAAAAGCACAAAAAAAAATTAAAAGGAACTAAACGCCACCATAGTTTGCTTTTTATAAAAAGTGGAGACGTTTTGGAATAGCCAAAGCAGTAAAGTAAATGCGAAGAGGGACCTTGCTTATTGATTAATCGGTCTGTTTATTTTAATAAAAAGTAAAGATTTGTATCAAAGCGTAGGATCAAACTTACTGAACTCACAATAAAGAGCCACAAAACTTAGTACACGTTGCGCTACCGGTTCCTGATCGCAACTGCCTTATAGCAAATTGTATTCACTTGCAGGCTGCTGTGATTTTTTTTTTTTTGAGCAGCAGTCTGCGGAGTGAAGTTCATCGGATTATTTAGTATGCCGACGAATAACTAATATTAATATTCTTCAAAAAAAATGTGAAATTTTGCATTCCTACTATAGTCCAAAATCTTCACTGTATTTTTGGCGAAGCATAAGCTGCCATGGTAAAGACCATCACATTTCTCTGGTTGCTAAACTACTTGCGAAAGGAAATACATTTTCAAGGAAAATTACAGCAAACGCAGCCGAAGGCCAAACACGGTACTAAGACCAGCTTTGTTTTGGACTATTTCACGCCACTACCTATTCGCATCTACAGCATACACTTTACATTTTGCGATCAGATACATTAATTATACTGCATTAAGTCTGTTTTTACCGAGATGAAATTAGTCTGCTTCGCCCAAAATTATTCAAATAAAGTATGTCTTTTTGAAATTAGTGGAATTCACATATATGCAAAAACGTTTTTGCAATTCACATATATGCAAAAACGCATAGCAACTTATTCATTGTTAGTTATTTATTTACTATTACTAGTAGTGTAATTAATAAATGTATAAAAATGCAATTGTCACACGAAACGTAGGCTGGAACGCACCAGGCGAGCCGGAGCGATCATGCGTTTTTGCACAAAACTTG